GAAGCTCACTCTCCCTCTCGCTGCCGCCTCTCTCTGTGTCATCAAGTTCATAAGAATTGTTCAGGTTTTACGTTCCAAAACCACAATGCAGGTGTGAGAGACGCCGTAGTGGAGTGCTCTGGACAATTCGACTATCTGGGGTTCTTCAACGTGCCGCTACATCTAATCCTATGGACATCTAGCAGTAAGCTAAGCCTCATATTTTTACCCTGCACACGCCAACTAAGTTATAGTTTACAGTCTGAAAAACTATTTCACATTCCAAAGAGATCTACTTGATAACGTGTACTAAAAGTATTTGCTATTTAATTTAGTTATGCAATAGCAATGTAGCCTTTCTCTGCGCATTGTTAGGTAAGACCACTTACTCTCCACCGAACAAATCGTCGTCACGTTGCCATTTCCACACCTTACTACGTAAGAACAACGCTTTCGTATACTATCTGTACGCATGACATTTCAGCGCTACATACTATCCTGAAAATTGCTAATCGTCATTGACTGAATCTCGGGCACATTTAGGTCATTTTTTAATGAAACTTGCTGCATTCTTAAGGTTGTGAATCTGTCTTAAGACTAGCGCGCATTATGTGCTATATTATTGCTATAATTCACTGCTACTACCTCTAGTTTGCACGACGTCATCACTTTCGGTGTACTTTTTTATACACTGGTTTCCGTTTAATAGTCGTCCTAATTACATGCCATTTTTCCCATTTCACTGCGAACGTTGTTTTCATATTTTGTTGCATGCACTTGCCTTTTTACCTGTAGATACCTTTCCTATCCCATCTGCGCCTTCTTAAGGAATGCAGGGGGCATAATGGAAGTATATGCGCGTGCTATTTTAGACCAGACGTTGTGACATTCTCCGGTTCTGTTATGAGAATTAATGTGTATTACGCCTTCTTTTTAATGTATTCTTCCGTGTCATTAAGTACATACAATTTATCATATTGCCACATTATCTGAGTAGCGTAATGACTCGTTCAACGGTCCCTGTATCAGTATAGTCTTACGATGAGCATAGTGTGCGTTACACTGCGGCTATACCGTACAAAATGGGGTCAACTTATTTTCAAGACACGGTTGTGCGGCTTTCTTCGTTTATCTCCGTTTGCATCAGTTTTGGGCAAGTATGTCTAAACAGAAATCAACAAATCAAATTTAATCAAACTTGCCCATTCGAACTCTACACATAGCTTACCGTTGCTTTCTGGGTAGCAGGCTGGTTCTGTCCCTTCGATATCGGTGCTGGATCCCACCATCGACGGCGGCGGTGTACTTCTTGTGCTTCCATATTCTGGAAGTGGTAAATGCTACGTCACGTCTTTTGTGTCTTGCATAAAATCTCACGAAAAGTCTTCCCAGCACTAAGAAGCTCTGATTACGCGAGAAATCTTGTCAGGTACAGACTAGGGGCGGTTCTGTTCAAATATTTTCTAAATCGTTTCGTTATTAAAATTATCATGGCTACGAGTGGTGTTGGCTAATGCTCTCTGGTTTGGAAGCTCAGAATTAACCAGTGAATCGGACGGAGAGGATGGCCGCCATTGTGGCTAAATACGTAGAGCATCACAAGGGTTATCCAGTGATGGTAAGTTCGCTTCCATAACGCGGGAAAGATTTCCGTTCGTTCACTTAAAGTAATTCCCACATTTCATTCATTTTATTTGTTTGATACTGTCAACCCCATGCTTGGGGTCATTACAGGGAGCGTGTCGCATAATACATAGTGTTCACACAATAAAGCAGTATTCAATATCACATAGAAACGACAGATGAATAATCATCATGAAAAGAAGAAACAAACAGCAGTGACTATGCCGATTAAAAATCGAGAAAGAAATGCTCGCAACAGAAGTTGGCAATTATCACTGCAGAGAAAGAGTGATATATTATAATTATCACTCTAGAGACAACAAGCACTGCCCCCTATATTTTCACTTTGCTTCATCGTCCGTTCATTTCAGTAGGAAAAGAAAACGAGCTCTTGATCGATTCCCCTTCTTTCGTTAATTCATCATTGTACCATGTGCACGAAATTAAACTGTTCAGTTGTCATGCCTGCTAGATGGGAGCATTACTGTGAAATGGCTGAACTGTCCTTTCACTTCTACCACCCGCGCACTCCAATGCGCCTAAGGTGGCACATGTAAGGGTCCACGTCATGGTCACAGGATAAGCCCCTCCATCTTTTTATTCTTGCTCTTCACGACGCATGGGTTGCGCGCGTTGGTTTTAAGTTAGTGGTGCTTGAAGGAGTGTAGGTGACATCGACATTCTCTCTCTCTCTGTCCTCCCTCTGGTATTCACGAACATTGGTTCATGATTATCGGACTGCTTTGCGTACCAAACGCACTGAAGGCACAAAACCGATAAGGAAAGGGCCAGATAAAGACAAGTTAGGTTTATGAACACGGTCATATTCTGAAGTTTGAGCGTTTTCGCGCGGCGAAAGTCGTAGTTTCACCTCAGTGCATACTCCCTCCCTTCTTTCCACCTGTTTGTCCAGTTCGAAAATGAAACAAAACTAGCAATGCACGAGAAATTGAAAATGAAGCGACGCCTTGCTGCTGAGAACATTCTGCATGTAGTCTCCCGTGCTGCAGGAGTATATGTAGGGGGGTAAAATGTTTCCGAAATGCAATATCGAACCTTCCAGCCAGAGATATCGTCAAAATCTTGAATCACCGTAACATCACACTGAAAAAAATGATGGCATAAGTTCGACTGAGGAAATGCGTCCACTAAAAAAAGGGCCCTTTGATATTTTGTTACACTTCTGGCTTACCACGTATGACTTTCTTTAAAGACACACGTTTACGCCTTTGGGGGCCCCACGATTCTCTCAAGAAAGTATAACGACCAACAAAAAAAAATTAGACGTGACTCCTTATAGGGAGTGATATAAGCGCCAAGCCAGACTTTCCGAAAATGAGTCAAATGATCCTTTTTTTCAGACTCCCCTTAGGTGATGGGGGAGGCGGTCTTCCCCGTCCTGGTGAACCTTCTGTTCGCATGCCTATGTTGAAGTTGTATCACTTTACTAAGGTACTCTTCACCGACTATCTCCACGACTCGCTCCTTCGACGCAACGCCCAGAACTACCGAAGTGCTATTTAAGCTTTGGAATGACATAAGTCCCTCTGGTCGTAACTTACTTCGCTCCTGGACAGCCGAGACGTGTTGTTCTTGGAGTCGGCCATGGCGGTTCTGCCCTTCTTTCTTGTTTTCACTTAGGTTTGGTATAATGGAAGCGATGATGATAATGATAAAGAGGATGTAAAGACTGCCTCACGTGCTCACTGATGATTTAGGGGCAATTGCTTCATTCATTCATTTACTTATTGTTGTTGGTGAAACCATCTGCTTCAATTTCTGTATTCGTTATTTGTAATTGTATATTTCTCATTTATTTTTTTCTCCTTTTTTCTATAGTTCAAAAACTGTGAGTTAACAAATTAACAGTTGTTAGTCAGAACTACCCAATTTTTGGCCAATCCCCCAGCGTGGGTGAGTGCCACAGTTTCCACGAACTTCCTTCCTTCCTTCCTTCCTTCCTTCCTTCCTTCCTTCCTTCCTTCCTTCCTTCCTTCCTTCCTTCCTTCCTTCCTTCTTTCCTTCCTTTCTTCCTTCCTTCCTTCCAACGAGTCGGGTTCTCAGACAATCATAGATGCTTAAGGAAATATAAAGACCTAGAGAGCAAGTTCCCATCAACAAAAGATGCCCCCAAGCAAATTACGAAAATTAAGAAGGCACTTTTTTAGTGCTTTATCCTGTAACACATCTCGCTACACACGATATGTTTTACTCTTCCATAGCTCCCTTTAAGACGTATTTAGTAGATAAGTTATACATGCAATGTATTGAGATTGTGTAATATTCCAGCGTAATGATTGATTCTTCTTCGGCTTCCTAAAATGACGAGAGCAAACTGACGACCGGAAACTATACGTTAGTGTCTTCTAGTGTATGTTTCTGATTTCGATCTTTTTTTGGTTGCTGCAATGCGTGGCTCATTTAATGTTCAAAACGCCGACTCGCCCAACAGTCAACTCCGTTAGGGAGGTGCTCGAAGAGAAATAAAGACTCAATTGTCACTGTTAGGAAGAGAAAGAAGGGTGTAAGTCGGTGTTCCTACGACTAATTAGTCTTTCTACGTACACGTGTAATTGTGCCAGTGTATGTTTGTATATCGTCGTGCATGCTAGTTCACACCTATGTGTTTTTGAGGTGACCGACGCCTCCCTGGGGGCCAGAATATGTGCGCAAGCGTATTTCCGCAAGCTCAAATTGTAGCCCATCTTGAGGGGCTTGACGGTCTACTGAAACAATGTTTCGGTTAAGCTAAGCCAGCAAAAAAGGCTTACACAAACTTCTCAGGTAATCTTGACCAGTTGACAACCTAGCAACTAGGTCATTTTTCATTGTTGTTGACAGCTGTTAAAGACCACTTACGCAGTTGCTGTCTGACCATTGTAGATAGCGAATCTGACAATCGAGAACCAGTCCCACTCCCGTACGCATACCTCTTCCGTGCGTCGCAATTGACGGTACGAGGAGTATATTATAGTTTACCAATGGAGCTGTTTTAGGGCTACGCTGGACGACAGATCAGTGCCGAGGGTTTCACGATCTGGTGCAAAGATACACCGATAGATGGCGAAACTGCCACAGTTTCACCATCTGTCCAAGTTATCGCCTACTGTTTGCCGCACAAGGAAAACAAGGGAGCATGGCTTGAGCAAACCAAAACATGTACTCTGTGTAGTGGACTAAAACTAAAGACTTCACGTTGATTGTGCCGGCAGGAGGGAGGATGCTAGTGATAAAACGGTGGTGCCGGTAGAGGGCAGTGATGTAGTGAATCTATTATGCCGTTCTCTGTGCCTCTATACTGTATACAAATAACGTAATCATAGACACCCCCAGAATATCACGCAGCATGACAGAAAATTACAAAAGGAACACGGAACCACTGCTCCGCCGTTCCTGCAGATTTCACACTTGGTGGAACCAATCTGTATTACAGTGTTTTCTTTTATTTTGCTGGTTGGTTTATTTTTCGATATGCACGTCGAGAAGTCGACACTGAACTTTGCGATCCCCGCTGGTCACTTCCATTCGCACGTTGAACGTGCCATTCTGAAACGTGAGAACAGAACACAAAAAATTATAAAAAAAATGAAGAAGTTACCTGCAGCCGAACATTGTGAATGAATATAAGGCATTGCTAGCCCTAGTGTGACGCACTAAGTACTGCGAATTCATCGCTGATATAATGCAACATTTTCGCATGCGCACATACCCACTTCTGGCACATTTATGACGGGGACATAGTTGACATGTTCACACACTGTTGTGAACACACGACGGCACGTCGTCGAGAACGTACAACTATAGGTGAACAATAGTCCGGCAGTTCATATGAGATATGAACACACATTGAAGCCGCCGCTCAGGTGCGATGTAGTCAAGCGTCGGTCGCTACCGCCAACAATTAGTTCTCTATTTACTCCTAGCCTACGATAAGCGTCTGTTACTCAACTCACGAAATGAAATTCTCATTTCAGCAACCCCATGTACTCCTTTGTGTGGAATAGTATTTGAAGAAAGAAAAGAAAGCAGAGTAGTATGGTTGAAGGAGAGAAGCGCATCATTATATCCTTGAATAACTTCAATCTGAGAAAAAAAAATTTTGCTCTTTTCGATGAGTCCCGACTTGCCAGGCCTATGACAATCTTTGAATATGCCCGTTGATTCTCTTTCAGGTCCTGTGACCCTCCAACAAGAGTGTAATGACCACCTGAGAGAGTTAACGTGTCTTTTTATAGAGAGTCATTCGTTACAAGCCAGGGCTCATATAGAAGAACGCCTTGGCTTTGTCCTTTCTGCCTAGACTGACAAGATACTCTTTTGTACTCTACTTATGCCTTCTAGATATCTTCTACCTTCTTTCAATCAATTTTACCCCGCCTTCCCCACCCCTTAAGTCGCTGAGCCGTTCCTCCACGAGACACCAAATAGCGTCCTTTCACTTCCCTCTTTCTCGAATGACTTTGTCTCTCCCTCAGGACTCAGCAAGAAGTATCAGAGAAATATTTTCCCCCTTAAACTAAAGGTGTAACGCGTTAACTGAGTATATTGTCGCGAGAGGAAACAATAGGCAGGAACTCGAAGTGGAGGACTGTTTACTCAGCCACAGCTGCCATTCACTACTTCGCTCTCGTCTTCTGCCACCAACACAGCGTGGCAATATGAACCTACAGGCCCGGTTCATTTGCTCCGATGCCCGCATTTGGAGCAAGTGTGAGTAACCAGGCGCGACCAGCACAGGGATTGCAAGCTTAGTTATGTCATAGGTGAAGGCGAGAGAGCACGGCCAGCAAGCCGCGATACGGACAGGTCGTATACGATCGTGGCCACTCAATTGACCTGATCCTCAGCCACTTGAACCTAGTGCAACCCTTGGTGCCAAACAAGCCCCGCCGCGGTGGTCTAGCGGTTATGCCACTTGACCTCTAACCCGAAGGTCGTGAGATCAAAACCAGGATGCGGCAACTGCATTTTCGATGGAGGCGAAAATGACTGAGGCCCGTGAGCTTACATTTAGGTGCCCGTCAAAGAACCCCAGGGGGTCGAAATTTCCGGAGCCCTCCGCTACGGCGTCTCTCATAATCATATTGTGGTTTTGAGACCTTAGATCTCGGAAAGAAATATTGGTACCAAACAAGGCGAACGTCTTTACGCTGCTATTCGCAAGGTTGCGCAAAACTATGTGAAAAGCGCGGAACTACGTTTTGCTGCGCAGGGAACTGGCTTTTTCAGTGCACCGCGTAGTTTTGGTACTGTTCTATGTAGTGGTGAAATAGAGCATAGTGCGTTCTCACCGCAAGCACTGCTTTTATTACAGGGTGCATGAAGAACACCAGTTTGGATGAGTATACACCCGGTGGAATCGGGCACGTGTTGTTCCAAGGCTCGCCCACCATCCTTTCCATGTCGCTCTCACCGCCACAGCTCTTGTACGTACTGCGCAGGCGCAGAAGAAAGTAAATTTATTATGGTAAACAGGCCTAGACACCATTCAAAGTAAATCTTTAACGTAGTGTTGCATCCTGAAACAGCTTTACGTGCAGGTGGAGCCAAGTCAACAAAACTGGCACACGGTCAACGAAATACTTAGCCACTGCGCACTTCCGTCCCGTTTCGAAAAGTTAATTCGAGCGCGAAAACTTGACACGATCACTCACACACGCACACACCCATGCATCAAACACACACAGCGCCCACTTCCAACTGATTTATTCATAGCTCGAAGGCTTGAATATATACAGGACACATTGTGCGCACACACACCATAGAAGGCCAACAGCATACATTATCAAACGTACAGTTATTCAATGTCGTAGCCTCAGAGCGATAAACCGAAGTGCGCTTGGTAACGAAATTGAAGGGGCGTTTACACAGTGATCTTTATTTTTTCTTTTTTCAATGAAAAAGGCCTCTAACACTTCACGTGCAGTTTTACTTGCGCTTCTGCCTAGAATCTTCGTCTCAGAAAATCGTGCGTCACAACCACACGAGATGACATGCGCAACCAGGTGCGCATACTTGTCATCTCTTTTTGTTAATTTTTTTGTTTAATCCGTCCCGTTTCCCTTGCCGCGGGGGTCTAGTGGCTAATGTACTCGGCTGCTGACCCGCAGGTCGTGGAATTGAATCCTGGCTTCGGCGGCTGCATTTTCGATGGAGGTGGAAATGCTGTAGGTACATGTGCTCAGATTTGGGCGCACGTTAAAGAACCCCAGGTGGTCGAAATTTCCGGAGCCCTCCACTACGGCATCTCTCGTAATCAAACGGTGGTTTTGGGGCGTTAACCCGCACATATCAATGAAATCAAACTTTCGTCCCATTGTTTTTTAAGGCAAAAGCCTTAGAGGAGGGCCGCGAAAATTTACTGCACACGACATCAACATGAATTATGTAAGAAACAATCACGTGGTGAGGTCGTCATATGGCGTCACACAGTTTGTGATCACGTGAATAGAGCATTGCATGACATCGTTACTTGCGTAAAGGTGGGCGAATCACGAAAGTAGCGCAAAACCAGGTGAGGCGCAACAACATTGCAATGTTTCCAGGACTGATGACAGCTAGTGGTTTGTAGTTCCATTATAGTATCGTCTTGTACCGAAAAAGACACCTACCAGGACCCCATGTATTGTACACAAGGCATCTTCATTCCGTTGGAGTTCCACATCGTGAACTTGGTGATTGGCGTAACCTGGAGGACTTCGTGCAGTTCGCCCGTGTAGCGGATGGTCATGTTCCGGCCCACCTTGGCGTCCTCGATGCTGAGGTTGTGGAGGCTTACTAAACTCGGCTCTGCTGTGGCAAGGATTGCGAAGTAAGGTGAGCTTCCAAGTACAAGGGCAGATAATGCTGCAACGTGCACTTATTTTTTCATTTTTGTATCTGTCTCGAAAACTGCTAACACCGCTCGGCGCAAGCCACTCTGCAACGTTTGCGAAACTTCTCGTATACTTTAGGCTATTCCGATAAGAATTGGCGCATGGCGCGAACAGTCAAGTTCATTTTAAACTAAACCACCAGCGATGAGGTGTGTGCAAACGATGACGCATTCCACCAAAGGTCATATAACCGACAGCTGTGATCACCACTATCAAGGTACTACGTGCCTTCTTTGTTTAGGTTGCTTAGTTGTTGGTCACTGAGTTTCTTGGTTGCTTGGTATTTGGCTTTGGCAGGAACTACGCCCTTTTAACGGCTAAGCGCGATCGCACCCACCCTGTCTTGACAGAGATTATCAGACGTCTCAAATACATTTTAATATGCTATGTTTTCAACACTTGGTTTGCGTGGTAGCGATAGACAACACGTAAACAGTCCTGTCAGCTACAGAACTGAGTTATGCCACGTCGGATGCTGAAAGATCGAGCTGCTGGAATTACTTATAATTTGGGTCTCTTGCTATCGAATTCATTGTTTCGCCTGTGCAGTGATATTGCGATATTCTGGTTTTTATTGCGATATCAAGTATGTGTGCTGTCTCATCTGGTTTTTTTGCCGTTGCCGCTGCCATCATTATTGTATATGTATTTATATACGGGCAAGGATGCACTAGCCTCCTTTTTTTTGCATAGTGAACATCGCCTTTCCGGCCGTAGTCGTCTGCGCGCGCGCTCATCTCGTGAGCGAACAAAGGAGGAAGGGGATGTTTATGATTGCCGCGCTATTGCGGCAAAGATCTGCGCGCGCCTCGTGCCCCCACAGCGGCTACACTCTCATCACTAAAAAATGGTGCCAGGAGAGTACCTGGTGCAGCTGTGCTCTTTTACACCAGCGTTCCGTACAGGTATGTGAGATCAGATCGGAGGGAGTGGACGGCCAGCCTCACTTTGTATAACATTCCAATTTGTCGCTATCACATTCATTGCTTCACCTTCTCGGTGAAACTGATTTTATGCAATCATTCCTACCACAGTCACGAACTGCACTTGACAACATGCACACGAGCATACATAGCCACCGACAAGGCTTCTCGAGACACAGCTTGGTATGCAGTGGATGCACGTTTTGCCAGTTTTGTACTGTTTGTCATAAGTTAATCGCGTTCGTCTGTACCTGTCATTACGTTTCGTGCGTAACTTGTGCATCAGAAACACGGGGCGCGTTTCGATCTGCTTGCCGTTCTTCGCATGACTTTCCACTTTTTTGCTATCGCGTTCGTTGCTTCGCCTTTGCGGCAAAGCTGTGACTTTTTTTTTTGTCTAATATTTTTTTTTCGAAGGCAAAGTGTAGCACCAGTCTGACTGTTGCACGGAGGAGCAAGGTAATTACTATGAAGGTCTCAAAAAAGAATGCTTCGCAGATAAATTACTATGTTTTAGCCAGCCTATGTACTAGGGCTTTTTCTCACAGACACGTATATCTGTATCCTACATTCACGGCAATTGCATTATATGTGCCGACTTTGTCACTGCAGCCTAGAAATTTTTTTTGTTTACCTTGGTACAACAAAGCAAGAACTGGCGTGTTTCATTTTGCCGACGAAGCGGTGGTAATTTCAATGATGTAGAAAAGTGTCCGGGCGCTTGTGTGCTTAGAATTCGAGGTCACGTGACTTCTCTTCGTCAATATTAAACCGGTTAGAGTCCTCCACACATACGGTATCTAACATAAAGAATCATTATTTTAGTGACCGGACCCCACTTACCGAGGTTAAATAACGATTCGAACATGTAGAGAGTGTGTTTTAGGTCACTTCGCAGCCGTATTGCATCCAGATATCTTAAATTATTTGTCACCGTTAACACCACATTATCTGCTATGCAGCTCCTTGGCCACACCTTAAACAACCAATCGTCATGGTCGTCCTGAACAATTCGAACAATCCATACACTTACATTGGCACGACTTTACGACGGGATATTGCACGGATGCCCAGCTGGAACAAGTTACGAGCACCAAACCGGCGCAGCATAAAATCAAAACCTCACTTCGTGACATCATGTTCAAAGGTCTTCTGTAAGGGACGCCACGTTGGCGACTCCCACACTAGGTCACCTCGCAAGCTCCCTTTATGATAAGCCTAGAAGACATTCGTGCGCATGGCCTCCTTTGCCTCATTATTATGGTATCACTGTTCAAACGGGCATAATGACCTACTTTCCTTTTTATTTTCTCCTCTATGTCTTGACCAGGCGTGGTCAAACACGCTACTCGTGTAGGTCCCGTCTGCTTGAACCTTCTGTTTAAACACGGTGCACTCAGGCCGGAAAGCGCTATACGCAAACTGATTACCTTTCCACGGCTGTGAAGCATGAACACTCGTACAAGTAAGAGAAAGACAGGCTGGCAGTGGAGTACGAGGGAGCACGACGACCTGATCCGGTGGCCCCGTAAACACCGAGAACGTCGAACCAGACGGGCACGAGGTCTTTTTCACTTTTCGGGAGCCGTTAATCATGATGTGGCGACTTTCGCCACTTTTTTTTTTCGCGATCATTTGTCATTCCATGTTTGTCAACCCCGCAACGACCAGTACGGGCTTTATTGCTGGAGTGATGACCTCGTATATATAACAAGCTCGTATTGACAGCTCTTATTTTGTGGCGCCCTTGAAAACGATAGTTGGTCCAAGGTGTACGTAGCGTCACCACACCCGTTATGACTACAACTTGTTTGGAGCAGCACTTGAAGGTGGTTAACGCGACCACTTCAACCTTGGCTGAATTGACGGCTCTCATTGAAGCTTCATGAGGCCCGCTTCTACTGACGTACACTATTGATGGTATTGGACGATTGAATCGCGTGATATTGGACGTCAAGGGTATCACCAGAAACTTTAACAGCGCAACACCAAAGCTTGGCGGTCTCCGTGATCGTCCACCCAAAACTAGGTGGCTATATGCGCCACAGAAAGTGGGTATGGGCCAAGCACTTCCAAAACTATAATCAGGTCCCGTCTCAAGCGATGGATAGAGCCAGGACATCAGAAATTTGCTGTTTAATTTGCTAAATATACCCTGGATATAACCAGTACCTCATTAATAGTGTAGCATGGCATAGCCCTGCACAGTATATTGCAGCAAATGGGTAGAAAATCGAAGTGAAAATTGGGAGGAGAGAAAGTGGGGGGAGAGGGTAAGCCCTACTCGGCTGTTGACCGTTGTGCTTTCCATCTTTCACAACTAAACGAACACTGTTACGGTAGACGCATACGCATGAAAATGATTGAACTGGTGCATACGATGTTTTATGGCTTTATTAATTCAGCTTGCGATATACAAAAGCAAGACAGCGTTGGTTTAACAGCCCAAGATTGCGACCCCCACATGGATGCCAAAATCTGTGGGTGCTGCAGTCACAATGTTCATGTGGCGTTCACTTACGGGGTTCGTGTGGGTGCCGAAATCACAATGTTAAAACAACAGCCGGAACTGTTGTGTCAACATTGTGATTGCAACAATCTGTCATGCTTTCGAGCAGCCGGTGAGGCGGTGCTCTCGAACGTTGACGCGCACCACAGAAAACGTATAATTCTCGGCATTGCGTTCCACTCGTCCAAATACACAGGCGGAGCACGTGGAACAACATTCTCGATGGTCGTCGCAGTGCGCATGCGTAGCGACAACCTGCAACCACCTGCACACTTTCCTTGAACACGTTCAGCCAGTTGAGTCGGGAATCAAAATGGCGACAGAAGCTGGCAACAACGGCGACCGTTGAAACTTCAGGGCGCGGGTAGGTACTCTATCAAAGGCTGGCACCACCCTAACACCGGGCGGTGGGCGCGTGTGTATGACGGCTCCCTACTTCTACTCCTCCGTTTCGTCTTATGGTTTTTTTTCAAAGTTATATTGAACACAGCGCTTCAACAACATCATCATCATAACTAGCCTGACCTCGGGCCCTGCAGGACAAAGGCCTCTTCCATGTTCTGCCAATCAATGTGGTCTTGTGCTTGTTGGTACCACGTTATACCCGCACACTTCTTGACCTAGTCTGCCCGTTCCCATTCAGCGTTCTGTCTCCCCTCGCGCATTTGTTTTCTCTGAGCACCCAGTCTGTTATTCTCCATGACCAGCGGTTAACTTGCCTACGCGCTACGTGCCCTGCCCGTGCTCATTTCGTCTTGGTTTCTCCTAAAATATCTGTTGTAGGCCCGTGTACTCAGATTTGGGTGCACGTGAAAGAACCCCAGATGGTCGAAATTTCCGGAGCCCTCCACTACGGCGTCTCTCATAATCAAATGGTGGTTTTGGGACGTTAAACCCCACAAATCAATCTCCTAAAATATTCCCAAAACATACGTTTGTTCCCTCACCTCCTACGTTGTCCTCTTGTCCACGAAAGTTACAATCATTTTCCTTTCCACTGCACACTGCACCGTCCTCAATTTAACTTTAACCCTCTTTGCGAGCCTCTTGCGCTTACCCATCCTTAACATTGTTTTTCTTCTAGCCTCAATAACAGTGTTTAATATAGCATGCCAATTAAGCGCTGTCCCCATAAACGTTCGAATTTTTTGTATATTTGGGTTGCTTTGTGCGTACTTTTGTTTCTGTGTGTTTTTATCTTCCTGTTTTGAAAACTTCTTCGTCTTCATATTGAGCATTCATGTAATTCATGTAACCCACTCTGCGAACATCCCTAGTAGGGATTGAAGTATTCATAAAAATTAACTATCTCCAAGAACCCTGCAGCGGGAATCTAGTAGTTATGGCACTCGACTGCTAACGTGAAGGTCGAGGGATCGAATCCCCGCTGCGGCGGCTGCATTTTCGATGGAAACGAAAGTGTTTGAGGCCCGGGTACTTAGAATTGGGTGCACCCCAGGCGGCCGAAATTTCCGGAGCCCTCAACTACAGCGTTTCCATATCACATCGTGGTTTCGAGACGTTAAACCCTAGATATTATTATCATCTCCCAGAGAAGTTTCTGCGTGGAAATTTCCGTTAATGCATGACTTTCAACAATACCATATAGTCACGTATAGGAGGAGTTATGTAGGTGCGTATGTGCGTGCGCGTGTCGTATATTTATTTTTTTCTGCCCTCGTCAGGCGGTCATCAAATGGGACCTTTGGTTCGTAACGGGAGTGCTAGATGACCGACTGCGCCCCAGTCGCCCTCATCTGTGCACACAAAGGACGCTGTAGTCTACAGAAGCGTCACAAGATATATATATATATATATATATATATATATATATATATATATATATATATATATATATATATGTATATATATATGTATATATATATATGTATATATATATATATATATATATATATATGTAAAGTGAAAGCGTACAAATATGACCCCAGCCTTTCATGTTTTCATTCTGAACCCCCCTGAAAAAAACCCAGCTTCTAAGTGAAGGTTACATTTTCGTAGGCCGCTTCTTTATTTACGGGGTAGAGCAATTACTTGCACGCATGTTGTTGCTTCGGCCTTCATTATTTATGAATGGAGGTGGTGGTGACGTCACAAGTTTTTGAATTTCATGATACCTGCCTTCACATTACCACCATATACAATGCCACACTTTCGTTGTATAATGGGCCGATCCGAAAAATGAAGTTTACACTAGGACCGTGTAAGGCTTAAGAAACAGCGAATGTAGTTGGTTTCAAGGGCATAGCGTGGTCTTTCACGTGATTTCAGGTCTTTCCTAGGCGTAGGGTGCTTGGATTCAAACCACGGCTGGTCACAGACAATGCGAGAATGTCCGAACTCCAGCGCCCAAAACTGAAGTGCAAACTTGGTTGCGGTACCGGGGGTACCACAACCAAGTTTTGTAACTGTGATGAACTGCTAGTGCGGTTCATCACAAAGTTACATAAGCCTGCAGTGCACCATGATGACTTGATTTCTGTAAATATTAGAATAAGCAGACACAAAAGAACCAGCATTGGGCAAGGAAACATTTATTAACAACGCTTTTTGGAGGCTTTGTGATCAGCCTAACGGACCAACATAATGAAGGAACATGCGTTAGAAAAATATCATCACATGCTAGGGGCACAATATTTATACACAGGATGGCTAAAACATTCCTTAGGGAGTCGGCAAGCGACACATCATTCAACAGGTGTAGGGAGAAAGAACATGAACAAGCACACTGTTCTTAAAACATCATAGAAAACTTAACATTGCAAACAACAATTCTGAAACAAAAACTCAACAAAGAAAAGATTGGCTGTACAAAGACATTTTCTAAAAAGTTAATAGCAGTCTGAAAGGCACGGTAGCTGGCGCTTACATGAGACATTACGCAAATCTTCTCAAGAGATGTTCAGTGCCAACAACAAATTAAGTATAAAGTCTCTGAGCCTCAGCACAGGCATGAAAAAGAATACATTGCCGACTGCCTGCTTAAAACAATATCTACAGCAAATTGACCACAAATTTAAACACATCAGAAACTTGCAATCTTTCAACAAAACAATATCCTAACCCAACACAAAGCCTGAGATTAGTAAAAAAAAAAGGTTTATTAACAATGAAATAAAAAACATGATGGAAAAGTATCGACATTCGGCTAAACATGAGCGTTACCAGAGAGAACAAGATGGCCGTGTTATACTGATGTTCAATCAGAATTCGCAAATGACCACATATTCATCGCAAATGACAAAGACCACTGAATAACAGTGCAAATAACATTCTGAGATGAAAAGAACAACTAGCATAAAAACAATCACGCGAATACTAGCGAGCACTCGCTTAGTACTCGTAGCTTCTATTTCTTGATAACTTAGGTTTAGCAAAAAAAAAAGGTGTACGAAAAATACAGTCCAAACAGTAGCAGATGCTGCTAGAGGTCTCAACAAAACAAGTCACTTTCGTCTCAATAGACATCTAAGCTATAGGTAGGAATTGGGATGTGGCCATGTCCCTAAATATAAATTTGAGTTTCACAATACACAGATGAAAACAAACGCACCAGAAAGCTCCAGCAGAGAAAGAAAATAGCACTCTTCACAGAACTTACCAAGAAATAGTTCACGAGCAAGAGATGTTGCTTCACAGACAATAGTAGCTTTGTATGAGGACTTTCACACTTCCCTCTTCGCTATTACTGCAAACGTGAATTCTGCAGGATATTCCCAAGGGACAGATCATACATAACTACGCTCTTTTTTTCTTGTAGAAGTGCAAGTGTACTGTTGCTCTTGCTTTCACAAGAGCGCAGCAAATTGTAAACAAATTTTCTACAACATCAAACAAGAAATAGAACCCGGTGTCTGACTAGTCTCGCAAGCATCACAATAAAATGCCTTTTACACAGGCTGGTGGAGATCATGGGGCCAACAAAATTCTGCCGTGTGAAGCAAGGCTATCGAAGGCAGCTGAGCAGATGTCATGGGTGGTGTATAGACAATGTTCACAAGGCTAACCAAAGTGGGAAAGGGAGGATGCCTGTTCATCCCCTCGAAGCTATTCAACTAACTGTGCGAGGAAGTTCGGCACAGTGTTGGACACCTTGAAATCAGCAGCATGAGTTAGCGATCACATTTCCTATTTTCCATACATTCGAAAAATAACTGCGAATGTTGCACAAGCAAAACTGCTATCATAGTGCATCATTAAATGTGAAGAAATGCGGTGCAGCTGAGTTGTTCGAAAGGCAATAATTTTTTCATCATGGCAAATCCCTTCCTTGCAGCACCATTATAGAAAAGTCGTAGTGAACAAAGTAAAACATGCCCCAACAGTTTCAAATCCTCCTATACAACACTTTCTTGCATCCAATATCACAAACAAGTGCATAACAGAATACCACAGGCACATCAGACAGAAGTATTCGGATATTAGTAGAAGGTTAGCAGGACGGATTAAGAAGAAAATGCTTCACTCATAGTCAAATTATGTGTAGGCAGGTAATGAAGCTTTCAATTGTCTCGTATAGCTGTGTATTTTACAATGTGCACACAGCGTACAAAAAGCATTTCGCAGTGGGAAAAAAAAAACATGCAGCAGAAGCTAGCAGCAGATATTACATATGACATACAACAGGGAATTAGTTTCATTCAAGAAGTCCTTGTAAGAAACTCCCGCATAAGATGTGAAAATGATAACCTATCATAGTGCGAAAACCTGGGCTTCACTTTTATTGCGCTGAACCAACCAGTTTAACAATATGCTTGAATTAGGAGTTATAGAATTAGTCCTAAAAATGGCTGTTGAAAGCCTAGTTCATGCAGGCTACTCTGTTAAGTAGGAGTGTTTGTGCCTGAACCTTTGCGTGCTTATTGCAAGCACTCATGAGGGTTCTTATTTTGCCTATACTTTCGCACTGTGTCTAGGATAAATTGCCAGACCACAGGAAACTGCCTAACCACTGAGAAAGAAGAAATATGCAGCGAGTGGCTTCAGAGGAGGTCTGCTTGTGAACCATAGATATGCTGCCTTATAATCTCTTCTGACTAGATGCCTACTCCCCAGTCAGAAAACAATGTGCTATTCTTGTTGACCTGCCGTTTCCTCTATTCTTATTCGCTTCGTGTGTACACTACTGAGAAAGCATTCGCAGGTTTCACACATGCCTGCGCATTAGCTGCGATGCTAAATACCATGAATAACCCACAGCCTGTCTTTCCATTCTTCCTTGACAGTACTCTGGACCCTGCATTATACATCCTCCTATTAGCTGCACTTATTATTATTCTGAGATGCACAAAGGCAATAGGCCGTGTCAACAAAGTGAAGAGTAAGAGTAGCCAGCAAAGAAAGAAATAATTCTCTGTAACAACAGAGTTCACAACCTTTGAGGAAAATGCAGCAATGACAAAACAAAGAGCTATGACATGCATGGCACAGGGTATCTTCAATGAAGCACATCAGAATGATGCCATGAATATCTTGCATATTTGCTCTCAACTGCACTTTTTTTATTCTTACTTTGTAACATTTGCAATAACTCGAAGCTTAATGCAATGATGGTCATGTCAACCATATTATTCCGCATATATACTTGACTAGCTCTAAGTACAAAAATAATATGTTTTATAGTGTTGAGCTACCATTTAAGTGATAACTGAAAGCATACTCTACAGATGCTATATTGAATGAAACACTAATTTCAAAAAGGTCATGGACTAAATCACAGATAACGAAGGAAATAAAATGATGGTAGAATTTACAACACTGCACCAAACAAAACAATGTCTTTTGCATCATAGAGCTCCTGGTCATGGCAAGCATGCTTCAGTGTAGAGATGTGAACAAAAATATGGTTCTCTTCCACACACCTCGCGACTAGGCATGATTAAAAAGAAGTAGAACTACCTGCAGCAAAGTAAGACACAAAAGTTTACAAAGTATGACACGAATGTTTCTAAGATGGAGTAGTGGAAGAGATTTCAAGTCTGCAAGCTCATCTACTTTACAGGCAGATTTTAAAGACAGTATGTTCTTACCCGCAATGTAATGTTTGCAAAAGGTCAGAAATGATAAGACTATAACCAGGTACTTGGGAAAATTGAAATGTAGGGTTGTTTTGGCTCAGAAATTGAAAGCGAAATCGGAGTTGTTCATACATCAGTCCAGAGAGAAAATGAAGCACACGTACAAATGGGGTAAACACAAGGACAATAAATTTACATGCAGACAAGAACTCAGCCCTCTGGTACCAGCTTTGCTTTTGTCCTAGCTTTTGTGCAAGTACGATTTGCCTTACTCAATAATAAACAAAATCTACTAATAGCAACAACAAAAACATTAGAGATGCACAAACAGCACCATGTATTAACTTACTATAAAGACAACTTTATGTAGTATATACAAATTGTACTATACATGTTCTGCATAAATTGTTCTGAGGCTTGAGATGTGAAAGAAGTAAACTTTTTCACATATTCATATATATAGGCAGAGCAAACACATGGCTAGCACTTGAAAAATGTCACAACTGTTTACTATTCAGCTAGAAAGACTGCAAAAGATCACACCATCACACTGTGTCATCGACAAACGGGAATAAAGAATCACCATAAAACTGTTTCTTCCTCAAATTTGTTTTGAGCACGTCTACTCACAAGATTAACAATCTTCTCAAAATGAGCCTCTCGTAGTACCAAGATGACTCGAGTTGAACCAATAAAAACATCACACACCAAGTGAAACATATCGCCAGTCCTATATCATTCCGACACTTGCGGCACTGCAGCACAGCACTATTGTTGTAAGGAAAGAGAACCATGGGAGGCATCTCTGGGCGCTTCATCAGTAGAGCCTCCAGGACCAGGCAATGTCTTGGGTGGAAGGAAACCTTTCCAGAGCTTGTGCACTTCAGCTGGAAGATGGTGGTGCCAGCTCTTGAGGTAGTAACGGGTGTACTTGCGAAGCTGACGGAACTTGCAGAAGGTGGCATCACCATCCGACACTTGCTTAGTTTTGACAAGGAAGCCATTCTGCTTGAATGTGTCTTCCAGCTTCTGCTTTATGAGTGACCTCTGGCTTGGCTTGCGGAAGTCCCCGGGGTGCTTCTGAAGGTGACGGGCTCGCTGATGCACTGTGCCCGCTGCTGGTCCTCGGATCTCGACAATTCTGCAGAACTGCCATCAGTGCTGACCTACTGCCACTGTCAGAACTGTCTGTATAGGACTGCGTTTGAAGAGGGTGTGACGGCTTCATGCCAGCACCTGACGATGATGGGGCTGAGTAAAGGGCGTAGCCAAACGGCAACTGGGTTGTAGGTATTGTAGGTACGGGCACTGCAGACTTGTGTCCTAACGCAAGTCCACTAGGCTGAGAGAAAGCATTGAAAAGTCTATGGCTGGGTGGAGTTGTGAGAGGTGCTTCTAATGCCACTTGGAGTGGAGACTTCTCGAAACAGCCAGGAACAGATGTCCTCAAATCCTGATAAGGAAAATGATAGTGCTCTGAAGGAACATTCGGAAGGTATGGCTGTGAGGTACAGGCCGGCAAGCAGCATGGCACAAACGATGATGATCCACATACTGCGGGAGGCAAGCAACAGCTAGCAATGCTGCTAACAGTGGCACCAGAGTCGTTGGGCATTGCTCGTGCTCTTGTCTTCATAGATAAGTCCAGTGGATGTGACGCACTAGGAGCTTCGTCATTCTCCAGCAGAGACAGGTACTTTCGGTAAGGGACTACCCTGCGCGTCTGCGAAGGCTTCCTTCGGTGCCGCTTGGACAAGCACTCGTAGAGGATTTCCGACTGCTTCCCGGATGCGTCGGCACTTTCGTCCATTGCACCGACAGGCGAAGCAGGTGCAGATTCGGTCCTGCTCTGGGCGTCCTCGGAGCAGCACGAGGATGATGCCTGTTCATTGAAGAGTTCGCTGTTTCTCGAAGGCACAAAACACCCTGGCGTTCGCTCTAATCACATCTTCGTCCACGGGTGCTGCTGGTGGAGAAGTGACAGCAGTGACCACGAGTCCCGTCTGGTTAGTAACTTGAACTTGCTGCTGAGGGTGTGGCGAAGCTTCGCCTGCGTTCAGTCCTGAAACGTCTGTGGCCTTGTTGGTCGGGCTGGATGCGGGCGGTGGGCAAGTCGACACGGGTGGTTGACGTCGCGTCACCTCGGCTCGCAATCTCGACGCCAGCTGGGACGACGTGGTCTTGTCGACTTCGTTTGTGGCGTCGTTGACGCTGGGGTTCCTTGACTCCATCGCTGCTTGGGCGAAAGAAGCTGACGAAGAAGGAGGGGCGTCCGTAGAAGACACGGACCACTGGGACACCATGATCTGCTTAGTTCCGTGCTCCTCCTGGAGCTTGCACTCAGCGTGCACTTTCCACACGTCGTCGTGCGAGCCATCGTCCTTCTCCGAAGTGATGCTCTCGGACGGGATGAAGTTGTGGAACTTGAGACAGCGGCTTCCGCCACCGCGGCGGCCGCTCCGGCTGCGCGTGGCACGCTGGCCCATCTGCTGAGCCGGCTGACGGCACAGGAACGAAGGCTTCATAGTGCAGCCGCGGCCGCTGCGCTGTTGCAGCGGTGACAGTACGCCGAAAAGGTTGCCATTGGGAGCGTGGAAGAGCTGTTGGAAGTACCCAGCGCTACCGCGCTGTTCTTTCCCCGGCCGGCTGCCAGAAGAGTCTCGATTTGCGCCACCGTCGTCAGTTCTGCGAAGAAGCATGTGCGCGCGCATCAAGGATGACATATTAAGTTAGGGATCTTGTCACATGTGACAAATGCAACACGCGTGTGCAAGATGATGCAAAGGTTTCGGAACTCCACACTGCTTGGAGTCTCTATGAGCAGAACCTTCTTCTTATACGGCTCTAAAGTTCCGTAGTAAGCAAATTAAGGTCGCGATGAGAAAATTTTTGTAAAATATACGGCCTTCGTAATTTGGGATAACCTTAAAAGGTTCATTCGAATAACTTCTAATAGGTTATTGGTTTCACACACACAAAAAATCCTACACATGTGGTAACAACCAACAATGCATGCAAGCACTGGTCAACACACTGCTCATCATGGCGAAAATGGACATGTATATGCAGACGCCACCAAGTGCAAAAAAAAAACAAGTATCTGCTTAGCGCACTCAATATATGCTAATTATCTCCTATGCAATAGATATGCTAAGTTTGCGCTACTGCCAAGATAACAATCGTTCGAAAGTTTTCTATATAGCCCGTCTGGGAACACACATTTCGGTTATTGTACATTTAAACTTAAAAATACATAGTCGGTGCAGGGAATAAAACTCACGACCTCATGCTCAGTAGCTCAGTGCCGTAGCGACTGCAGCTACAGTCAAAACGAGGCCGCTCGGCCACGTGCTCGTCTTGCTACTCTCCGAAGCCGGGTATATTTAGCTTAGCACAAGACGAGACGGGAACTACAGCCGCTTCCTGGTAGCCAATATCTAGGTGGGTGACGCAACCAGCGCCATTCGAAGCATGAGCACGGCGTTCTTAGAATTAAGCCATCCGTGCCTCCGAGTTCATGCAGAAACCTGACGTACTTGGATCTTGAAGCGAAGTTTCGGAAATTTTGACTGGAGAACCTCAATATATATAAAACGTAGACGTTGAACTGCGAATCTCTGAACTCATCAGAGTTCGTCCCCGCTCACAGGATATACCGTACGAAAGGGAACAATTTATTGTCCCTGGAAGGTTTCATTGCGGATGCACATGGTTACTCATTCAAAGCCTCTCATCTGACGGCGTCCGATTTCATTTAAAAAAGTGGATCTACGTGATCTTTCGCATCTTTAAGAAAAAACACAATACACCTAAGCAATACTCGACTCAGTGCTGTCCCCGTCTACAAAGAACACAGCACGAAGCGATATACGGTTGTGTTGTAACTTTCATCGTCATGTGTGTTTTTCTGCGGTCACGTTTTTTTTACGCATTATACGCACTTGAAAACTTGCGATGTGTCACAGGCGCGTAGACATGCAACAGAGAAATGACGCAAACTAAGCATCGATGTGGAAAAGGACAACAGAAACAGGAGACGAGCCTGGTCCCGGACTACGTCGGTTCTCACGGTACTATTCTGCGCAGCGCGCGGTATACGCTGACATAAATTGACGTCATATGGCCATATAGGGCAAACAACACGAACAAAAAGTGCCGATCACGCGGTCCAGCTTTAGTCACCGGAGGACGCACGCAGGATGCGCAAGGCGCGTTCTAAATAAGTCTCCACGAAGCGGTCAAACGGTATACGTGGCCAAGGTGCAAAACGCCGCGGCATATCAGCGAAAGAGCACGGCGACCAGGTTCCACATTATAGGCCAAAATATGAAACGTGCACCTCTTTCGATCGTCCTGCCCACGTTTACTGAAAAGTAGCGGTTAAGCATAGCGTCACCATCCCGCCGTTACACACCGCAACTTTTCTGTCTATAATGACCTGCGCATGCGTCGAAAGCGGTTGGCAGAACTGTAACACTGAACAGGACAGAGACTGACTGTTGTCATGTGACTCGTGCTGCAATTTCTCGTTTGAACCGGCACAGGCGTGCATCCGGGTGGTGCAGGGGGCGGCCACCCCTTTTAGTCCACTAAAAGGGGGGGGGGCGCAAAGCCTGCCCCCAAGATTGGCCCAATAAGAAGGGGCAACGCGAAAACTCTGCGACCCCCCCCTTCCCTCCTTAAGGGCAACCTTGTACCCGCTTATGCCATCCGGCCCGGGCAAGCACTCTACTACATACAGTAATAACGTTCAGTGAATCAGTGTGATCAAGGAAAAGCTAATTTCATCAGCGAGATGGCCAAGCATACAGACCCATCGTAAGGACCATCGCGCTGCCAGTCACTACAATGAATGCGCAACGAGAGCGACCTGGCGATCAAAAACACGAATAAGATACTACAACGCTGCTGCCAAGCCAATCTGTATAAAATATCAAAAAAGACATAAAATCCTAACCAACTGCAAATGCGAACAGAACCCAGACACACAGGCCTTACCGGCAAGGCGACAGCGCGCGGTGGGAGAACCGGAAACTTCCGCAAGCGTAAGAGGCAGACATCCCACATTTCTGCGGGAACCGCAGTCGCGAACGTGCTACACGCGCCGTCGCCGCATTCAGAAACGAACGGATTCGGGTTAAGTTCACATGCGCACAAGGTGACGATTGGGCGAAATCATAATGGCACGAGTGTGCGCGCGAAAGCTTCGAAGAAACTCTGCTAACTGCGCGTCTTGAGCGAGGCCACGAGCGTTTCAGCATGGACGGAAGTAGGAAACCAAAGTGTGCGCGTCACGCGACCGACAGACGACCAAATATAGACAGGACAGGCCTTGGCCCAATGTCTGAGAAGGCGAGTACCCCGCTCAGAGGCAAAGGCGAGAAGGAAGTTGCGGCAGGGGACGTGTGTAGTACGTCTTTGTTATCGCAAAACCAATCGCTTCGCCCACATAGCCCATCATAGGTGAGTGCAGACCCATTTACGAGCTCAAAAACAAAGAAAAATCTAAGCTTAGTTCTCCACTGCCTATGGTGAACGAAGTTCACGTGTGCCCAAAGATCGCACCATTGATACAACATGCGAAATGTTTAATACAATTCTTACATGACGTTTGAACCGGACCATTCGATGCCAGATCAATGGTTCCTGGTGTGGTGGAACCATTGCGGAAGAAGAAATGGGTCTTATGTTGCAAACCTTCTAACACTCAACAAGAAGTAGGTTTACAATGGGGGCTGTCTCACGGTCCGTCTTTGGTCACAGCGTAAGGACTTCACGAAGTCCATATATGTAAATTGGCTCACCATGCGTTACAGCCACATGAGAGCTTCCCGGAAAAATAAAAGTCGTGCCACTTCAGAAAACCACGCGAGACGTAGTCGCAGTCAGTCCAGAAACAGCCAAATCCGGCTTACTTCTTTGGCGTACGTAGTTATTCCAAAGCTTCCACGGGGCTATTTCCAAATCATCTAACAGCGTGAAGAACGATAAGGAAATATTCACGCGTAACTCCACCGTTAAGAGACGCACGTACAGAGTAAACAACCGCTCCAGGACCTAAAAAAATTTCACAATGAAGTTGAGAGCACACACTCACTGTAGAACGCAAGACGTGTAGCATTCGGCGGAGCCTCCAGTTGCGCAATCCTTTTATGCTGCGCACTGCGAAGTGCGGGCCCGCACAATCATATCCGGCAACAACGGACGTCCGGTCGTGGCAGGCACGGTTCCCAAGAACATCGGCAGTACCGCCCAACGGCTACCACAATCTAAGACAGTCCGACGCGGTGAAGGAACTGACGTCTCGGCTTGCTTGTGAGCGCCCCTCAAACGGTGCAGTCATCCAAGCACCTGAGCGCATCTGGACCGACATGTAGGGACAAGATGAGAAGGCAGGCAAAGGAGGGTGGAAGGGAGAAGGGGGGATTGCCAAGAGCCAAGATGGAAGAAGGACCACGAGAAGGAGGGAAAGATTATGGGGGAAGGGGAGCGGTGCAGCCGAGGACGAGTGACGCAAGGGCTTCAGAACCACCAACCACCCAGTTCCTCACTCTCTGCCGCCTTCTTTCGTTCTCTCTCCGCTTCGTTTCTCCAGAAACGAAACGGCCACCGTCGAAAACTCCAAACTGGGGCCAAATTTAGCCCGCCCCACCAACACCGACCCATCTTCTTTGCCCACAGCGCGGAGTCTCCCACCCTTCTCGGGCCTTGCAGCACGAGGCGCGGGAACGCCAGCCAAGGGAGGAACGACGCCGCTAGCCTACAGGTCGCCCGTGGCGAGGCTGAGAGAACAGCATATTCTCTCTTCCTCTTCATCATACGTTGAAACAGCCGCATATCTCTTCTCTCTCAAGGCCTCGATAAAAACATGCGAGGAGGAAAGGACGTGCGGCTAGCTTCTTCACCGGGCCAAAAGGGAAGACGAAGAAAAAGAAGAGACCGATGAGCCAGAGGTTGCCATCAGTGACTGAGCGAATTAGGAAAGAAGACGAAAGCAGGAGAGAGGAGTAAAGAGGAGAGAAAGGGTGGGCAGGGCGACAGAGCTGGGTTTCGGGCCTTGTGCCCGAGCTCCGGAGACTGCGCTGCGGCCACGCGGCTCGCAGACATTCTTTCCCCTTACAAGTCACTTCGGGGGGTGCCCTTCTCACCCCGCTTCTGCCGGGCGTGTTTTCAGTACTCTTTAAAAAGAAAGGCAACGGCAAAGCGGGGCACAAGAAGGAGAGGGAGAGAGAAGGCCAGCTAGAAGCGTTTGCGGGCTCTTTGCTTCAGCACTATTTATAGAGTATCGTCATTCGCCTAACTTGGCTAAAGAAAGAAGAAACGATGGAAAGCTCAAGGAAGAGAAGTTAGAGTCGCTTGCGGGCCAGAAGGCGTGTCATTATGATGACCTGTAGATCTGTAGATCGCCCGTATTTGAGGCCCAGCCCATGGCTGTGTTCGTCACATGCTTTCTTATCATGAGCGTTCAAGTTTGCTAAATGGTAGTCGCATTATTTTCTCGCCTATCGCAATTAATAACGTTTTGTTCCGCTAAGGTGCGCTCACCATATGTCGAAACATAAGCGAGGTATCAACAAAAAAGCTCTATATTTCAGAATCGGCTTCCACATTGCATCATTCTGAAGAACGGCAATTTATATGAGAATGTTTATCGAATCATGACGTTTAATCCTGTTCAGAAATGA